TAGAGTTCATTGCTGGTCAACCCTATCCCCCCCACCTGACACTTGCCATTGCCCAGGCCTGGTGGGTGGTGGTGGGGGGGTGTGAGCGTGGGGACCCCGGCTCCATGAGCATGGAGGTTTCAGGGGAGACCTCAAAGTTGCTACTGGTTACACCTTCCGCCATCCCAACAACATTGAATACCATGAGCTTGCCTCTGGTCAGCATCCCCATTCCATCCACCTTGAAGACCCTGGATTCATTGCTGGTCAACCTCATCCCACCCACCTTGAAGACCTTGGATTCATCGCTGGTCAACCCCATCCTACCCACCTTGAAGACCTTGGATTCATCGCTGGTCAACCCCATCCTACCCACCTTGAAGACCTCGAGGTCGCTGCTGGGCAGGTCCCATTCCACCCACAAGGTGGGTGGACCTCAAGGTTGCTGCTGGTGAACCACCGCCCTCCCCTCCCATTCCACCCACCTGGAAGACCTAGAGTTCATTGCCAGTCAACCCTATCCCACCCACCTGGAAGACCTAGAGTTCAATGCTGGTCAACCCTATCTCACCCACCTGGAAGACCTAGAGTTCATTGCCAGTCAACCCTATCCCCCCCACCTGGAAGACCTAGAGTTCATTGCCGGTCAACCCTATCCCCCCACCTGGAAGACCTAGAGTTCATTGCCGGTCAACCCTATCCCACCCACCTTGAAGATCTCCACGTCGCTACTGGTGACATCCTTCCTGGCGTTGTGCTTCCAGGGGACACGGAAGATGCCGTTGGCCTCATCGATCCAGCAGAGTCCCGGGTAGTTCCCGCTGCTGACGGCGCTCAGGAGCCAGGGCCCGAACCGCAGCTTCTGGGCCTCCCTGGGGGGACACGGAGCCGTCACCGGGGGCAACCGGGGCCCCTGGGGGCGGGTGACCGGGGGTAGGTGCGGGAGGGGGTGTCGGGGCGCCGCTTACCCCTCGCCCTGCGGCGCTGCCATGGTGCCGGGGGTCCCCGCTGCCGCAGCGCTGTCTCCGGGCGGTGCGCGACCTGGGACCGGGGAGCAGCCCCCTCCCTCCCTCCCGCCCTTTTATCCCCTTCCGCCCGCCTCCCGGTTCCTGGAAAACACGTCACCCTTTCGAAAGTGAAAGTGCCGCCGGCGGACACTCCCGTCGCTGGGGGAGGGGGGGTGTTGGTAAAATCGCGGGGTGTGACACCCTGGTCCCCTCCCCGGGAGATGCTGGCAGCGGCACCCTCCAGCGATCCCCTCACCGAATTAGCCATAATTAATAAAAAATAAATAAACCCTCTTTCAGACCTTGCCCTGCGCCGGTGTGGGACGCAGACCTCAGTCGGGGGCAACCGGCAGGATCAGGCCCCGAGCTGGGGTTGCCCCCCCCAGGCTGTCGTGACCCCCAAAGGGCTGGGGCAGAATCACAGAATCTTCTAGGTTGGAAGGGACCTTAAAGATCATCTTGTCCAACCGTCAACCTAACTGACAAAAATAGACACCCACACAACAAACAAGGAGCATCGTCACTAAACCATACCTCCCAGCACTTCATCAACCCGTCTTTTGAACACCTCCAGGGATGGTGCCTCAACCACCTCCCTGGGCAGCCCATTCCAATGTCTGATAACCCTTTCAGTGAAAAAATTTTTCCTAATATCCAGCCTGAACCTCCCCTGGCGCAACTTGAGGCCATTTCCTCTTGTCCTGTCGCAATAACACATTTGTGGCATGGTCCTTGAAACCACTCCCCAAATTTTGAACAAACCACATTTGCATTAACAGGAAAAATCATGAATCCAAGCTTAGCAAGTGCATCTTTGAATCATTTGCTGATTGAGCCACACAAAACTCTGGCAAGTTCAATGTTCTAAATCAGGGAAATTATTAATTGTGCAAATAACTTCTGAGTCATTTTTAGGGCAGCTACAAAGAAGGAGAAAAGGTTTCTCTTAGATACAGAATGCTTTATATTATCAAAGTATATAGGAGAAACATAGATGAATTAGTGGGGGGAAAAAAAAGGCAAAAGGAATGATACCCCATTGATATCTTAGAGTCAAATCACACAGAACACAGAGAAAGCAAAAAAGAAGAATTTCTTTGTTGACTAGAGGTGACTCCAGAAGCCATTTCTAAAGACCTGAGTATGAATAGTTCTTCAAGGCATGGCAAGCTCTGAAGGGGACTGGAAAGACCAGTAAGCCTCATGCTCTAGCAGAGATGTTGAAAGAGCCAAGAGGGATCCTTGCTAGACTATGTTTCAGTATCTTTCTCATGATCTGTTCCATGATCTTCCCAGGCACCGAGGTCAGACTGACAGGCCTGTAGTTCTCTGGATCATCCTTACGGCCCTTCTTGTGGATGGGCATCACATTTGCCAGACGCCAGTCGGCCGGGACCTCCCCAGTTTGCCAGGACTGCTGGTAAATGATGGAGAGTGGCTCCTCAAGCACTTCTGCCAGCTCCCTCAGTACCCTCGGGTGGATCCCATCTGGTCCCATAGACTTGTTTGCATCTAGGTGTTGGAGCAGGTCCATCACCACCTCCCTTTGAATTATAGGGGCTTCACTCTGCTCCCCGCCCCTGCCTGCTAGTTCAGGGGTCTGGATATTTAGGGAACCCCCTATCCTACTACTAAAGACTGAGGCAAAGAAGGCATTTTGGACTTCAGCCTTCTCCTCATCTTTGGTCACTATGTTACCTCCCTTATCCAGTAGAGGATGGAGGTTCTCCCGAGACCTCTTCTTGCTATTAATATATTTATAGAAATTCTTTTTATTGTTTTTAACATCCAAAGCCAGGTTGAGTTCTAGTTGGGCTTTGGCCTTCCTAATCTTTTCCCTACATAACTTTGCTATACCCTTGTAATCTTCCTGCGTGGCCTGCCCCTTTTTCCAAAGGTCATAAACTCACCTTTTTTCTCTAAGCTGTGACCCTATCTCTTTGCTCAGCCAGGCCGGCCTTTTCCCCCGACGGCTCGCTTTACAGCGTGTAGGGATGGCTTGCGCCTGGGCTTTTAAGACTTCCTCCTTGAAAAACACCCAGCCTTCCTGAACACCTTTGCCCTTCAGGGATTCCTCCCATGGGACTTTTCCAACCAGTGATCTGAAAAGGCTGAAGTCTGCCCGCCGGAAGCCCAAGGTTGAGGTTTTGCTAGTCCCCTTCCTTACCTTTCTAATAATTGAAAACGGGCAGGACGGCTGCCCCCTGACACTGAACAGCGCAGCTTGGTGAGGAGCAAAATGCAGGTGGGGACACACACACACCCCAAAACGCTCGGGCTCAGCCTGAAAGCAGCTGCACCCCCCCTTCCCAACCCCCCCCCCCCGGGGCTTTCTGGGGTGCACCGGCCGTGCAGCCCGCGCACCCGGGGCTCGGGGCCGGGAACTCCCATGCCTCCTTATTTATTTACTTACTGTATTTATTTTAATCCTCCTTCCTTCAGGCTGCCTTGGTTTGCATGCTAAGGGCATGATACAAAAAGGAAAATAAATAAATGTATAAAAGCGAAAGGCAGGGGGGCAGTGGGTGCTGCACTCCCTCTTCCCGTAAAGCCGGGGTGCGCCAGTCCCTGGAATAACGCCCGCAGGGGTGGGTGTGGGAGCACCCGGTGGGCAATGACAGGGGCTGGGAGCTGTCCCAGCGGGATGGGGGGACTGCTCGGGACACCATCGAGGGGCACCACCAGCATGGGGGGTGCTGCTGCCCGGCATGGTGGCACCGCAAGGAAAAAGGGGGGAAAAACAAAAAAAAGGAGGAAAATCAACCCCAGGGTCACGCGTCAGGCATGCCCGGTGCCGTGCTTCCTAAGAGCTCGCAAAGGGGTGAACACCATGGTGTGCCCGCCCGCTCTGGTGGGCCCCAAAATCAAGGTGGGGAGCAGGCAGAGCTGGGAGCAGGGTCCTGGTGGCTGGTACCTGGTGGCAACGTGTCCCCCCAGCATGTCCCCCCAGCCCGGCCGGGGCTACAGCTGGTTTCCAGTAACGCAGGTCCACAATCAAAAACGGTCACCCTGCGCCTCGGGCCGTTGCAGTGCAGGTTACGTAGATTTTTGCATTAAATTAGAAAAGAATCGGCGAATAACCATGATACGAGGCAGGTCACCTGCAGCCCAAGCGCTTGCACCTATTGCTCTTCCTTGAGCAAAAAACCCCCCACAATTTGCAGGAGTTTTACGAATTGATTACTCAAAGACTCAAGTGGCAGCCATCGGGGCTGAAACATGGGATTTTGGTCTCCTTCCCCCTATGCTTCCTGCTTTCAAGGAAATTTCCCCTTTCCAGAAATGTCTCCCTGCTGCTTACCAGGAACTCCTGCATGGTTTTCAAGGACATTGCCCTTTGTTTTTCAGGAAATCTTCCCCTTCCTTACTAAGAACCCCCCATCGCTTACCAGGAAATCTCCCTGTTCACAGGGTATTTCCCGCTTTACTAGGAAACTCCTCCCTTGCTTCCTGGGGAATTTCCTTCTTGCCTTCTACGAATTTTCTCTCCGCTCATAGGACTTCTGTTGCTTTTTAGGAAGTTTCCCCATGACCGTTGCTCCCCAGGAAGCAAGAAATTATTTCCCAAGAAATCTCATTCTTCCTGTCCAGGAAATTTCCCCTTGGATTTCCAGCAATTCCTTCATTGCTTTCTGGAAAATTTCCCTTCCAGGAAATACCACTGTTACTTTCATAAGAAATATCACTTTTGCTTTTCAGGAATTTGCTCCTTGCTTGGTAGGAATTTTGTTCCTTTGATGTCTAGGCTATCCCCCCATCCAGCCTTCAAGGAAGTTCCCTCATTGCTTTCTACAAATTCCTAGATTTTTTCCCCTTTCGCTTTTGAGCAATCTCCTCGAGCGCTCTCAAGTAAATTCCTACACAGTCTCGCTGTAAATTTCCCCTTCATTTTCCAGGATATTTTACTGTGGCTTTCTAGGATGGTTTCCCTTTGCTTTCCAGGAAATCTCCCTTCTGCTTTGTAGGAAGTTTACCCCAGGCAATGAGGAAACTTCCTCATTGTGTTCCAGGAAATTCCAGCAGCCAAAACTGATCCCCTTTCCCGAACCCAGGACAGGGGCGTTCGGCACCTCCACCAACACGTATTTAAGGGCAGGAAACACCCCAAAACCCAAACAAACTGGAGCCACAAGAGCCATGGTCAGGAGCAAGGGACAGGGCTGACATGGGACAAGGTACAAGTGAGAAGGGCCTGGAGGGGTGGAGGACTCTGTACCAGCGGGTCCAGGTAGGACACACAGGGAGTTGACCCCATGCTGGTTGTTGTCCCTTGCCCTGGGGACAAGTGGCACCTGGAAGTAGGGGAGCACAGCTGTGTTTCTCTGTGCATTTGTTTACTTTCATTTCTCAATACTGCAATCAATGCTTAGAGGTTTCTGTTAATCAGTGATTACGTTGATAGGAATTCTTCCATTTTAAACTCTTATTTTTTTTGGCCAGTAGCACTCTGCCTGCCTAGGGGACTCCCCTGGAGCTACAGTCACTATCCCCTGCCACTTCCCCATGTCCAGACTCACAGACGTGTCCAAGCTACTAAAACTCAGCCCCATTGAGGTCACCAGCTCCAGTCTGGTGGAAGAAGAGCTAGAGATCTCAGAAGGAAGAGTCAGTTTTACAAAGAGGTTTTTAAAAGCATCCAAAAGGACAAGGAGACCTTGCCCTGAACCTCAGCCCTTCACTGCACCAAATCTGCCTCCAAATGTAACCCCACAATACAAACCTGCACCCCACACATCCCCCCTGCAGCTGCAAGTCACCCAGCTTCAAGGGGGCAATCCTTGCAGGCAGAAGGGCAAGCAGAAAACCCACTACTTTTATCATCAACGTTTCTTCTGGGGACCCTCCTTGTAAATCACAAAGCAGCAGGAACAGGGCACCTTAAAAAAAAAAAATCTTTCTCTTTTAATCCACCCAAGGGAAATCCAGAGCAAGAGCAGCATCACAGCACTACACACAGCACAGACATCTATCATCATCTTTGCACAGATTCCATCCCAGATACACGGAGAAGTCATTAAGAAAAAGAAAGGAAAAAAAAGAAAATTATTCACATATGCAAAATGACAAGTAACAAAACAGCTAAGGAACAATTATTTCAAAGAGAAAAAGGACACATCAAGGAAGAAGGCCCTCCACATACAGGTTTCGCAAAAACCTAACCCAAGAATGCTGAAACAGAGGTGGTTTTCTTTTAAACATTAAAAACAGGGTTTGTTTTTTTTTTTTTAAATTAATTTAAATATACATTTGAAACATAAACACCAAGCAAGCGCCTGGAGAACAAAGCAAAAAGGAATGAAAAGTGAATTTGACCAGTTTAATTGAAACACCAAAGTCAGGTGGATTGCACCAAATGGAATAAATAATGGAGAAGATCACACTGGGTTGGTAGATCCCACACTTAAGATCATTTTAACTAGAATTAATTACACAGCCCAAGAGAGTACTGAACAAGGAAGTCCTCTGACAAGTGATGTTAGCTGGGGCAGCGACCCTTTGACAGAGCGGGTTGTAGGTATGGATTTGGCCCTTGGCACCCAACAACAACCACCACCCCAGAAGCAAGCATGATGACAAGTTTTTGTGATCCAGAGGACCCGACCCCGGCATCACGAGCCTGCAAATAGCTCCTCACTCGGGGTGCAGGAACCCTCTGCCTCTTCAACACCATCCGGCTCCAAAAACACCAAAGTCAAACATCAAAGCACAACCAGACCTTGTGCTTTCACCCCGCAAGGTGAGCACAAAGACTCGGCATTTCTAGTGCAGCTCCCACGGTTGGGCACCACAGAAGTGGAGCAGGTACCTCCTTTCACACACCTGGGGCCAGGCTGGAAGAAGAAATAATTAAAAAAAAAATAATCAGCTAATCTATACCTGCGCCCACCGTTTTATCACCCTGGGGGGGGGGCAGGCTGAAGGAATGTAAGTGGTTTCTTGTTTGGTTTTCTCTCCCCAAGACCCCTGCATTAAAAAAAAAAATAAACAAACAAAAAACCAAACCAAAAAAATCTCAAACAAATATAACTTGATCCCAAATTCCTCTCCCTCCCCTGCCTGTAGCCAAGCAGTGAAGCACCTTCCAACATTTATGTGATCCCACAGACATGTTCCCTACAGAGCAGGCATCTCATCTCTGCACCTCACCTGGATGTGCCTGTGACACCTAGTTAGGAGGGACATCCCTTTGCTTTAAAACAAAAAAAATTACAAAAATCAATAGTAATGATTCCCTTTCCCCTCCTCTGATCTCCAAAAAGTTCTTCTAAGTCCAATTAGTTTTTGAGAAAGGGAGAAGTGAGGGGTGAAGGTGTCCAGGCCAAGGAACCTGACAGACCCAGCATCCTCCCTGCTGTGCCTCTGGTGGGGATGAGCCCCCTTTGCACAGGGCCTGCTCTCGACCTGGGGCCAGCAGAGCCAAGGGGGGACTGAGGGGACAGAGCAGCCCCTCCAGCTCCTCCTCAGATAGCTGGCAACTCCAGGAAGAAAGAAGGGGACTGGGGTGGACAGAGGGTTCAGGTTATTTCTTTTCCATCCCTCTTCTTCCCCAAGACTGGGAGGAGACTTCTGGGTCTTCAAGCCCAGTCTGTGCTTACCGGTGTCCTTAAGAATGACTATTTTTCTTTTTTTTTTTTTTTTTTTTCTTTAAAAAGGGGAGAAGAAAAAAATAAGATATGCATAATTAGGTGTTGTCCGTGGAAGGAGCGGGAGGGGGCAGGTTCCAGACTGATGCAGAGAAGGGACTCTCTCCCTCCCTGTGTTTGCTTGTCTGGAGACCACATCCCCTCGGCGTCCCTGCACGAACTCTTTGTGCTGTTGCTCTGACATCAGTCGACACGGATGATGAACACAGGGATGAATTCAGCGCTGCAGAGGGCAGGAGGACACACGCAGGTACGCCAGGGCTAGGCCCGGTGCTTGGGGAGCATGTCCAGCAGGAACTCCGCAATGCCGATGAAGTAGACGACTTGTGCAATGCCAAAGAGAGGAGCGATGACCAGGGCTCGGCAGTATGCCCCTTTCAGGAAGGCCATGGGCCCTTCCTTCTGCCAGATCTTCCTGGGGAGAAATGGAGAAGACAGGTAAGTCCCACCCCTACACCAGGCCAGGAGAGCCTCTGGCCATGCCCTGACTTTCTGCCTCCCTCCAGAGACTGAACCCAGGCAAGTGCCATCACCAGGCACTGCCTCCACAGCAGAACATCCACCATCCCCCATGTGAATGGCCGTGAAGAAACACACCCCATCCCTGTGTCTGGCCAGGAGTGTCTGCCTAGGTCCGGATGTACAACTGAGACAATCCCATGCTTGCATCAAGAGGTCCCCCCTGTTCAACAGTTGAGGCCAATTCCGCCCTCAGTATGGGAGATAGCCAGACGGCAGGAGACTCTGGCTAGAATAGCAATACAGAAGCAGAGTGCTTGTGTTTTGAAATTCCCTTTGTGTCCTGAAGCAGCCAGAGCACAGTTTAGTGAAGGGTCAGAGGAGAGCGTGGCTGGGGACAGCCCACTCAAGACAGTGCTCCTGCAGCTGCTGTTCGGAGCAGTCCCGGGAGGGAAACGAGACTTAATGCTGTAGGGTTTTCAGACAAGACCTCAAGAAACACAACCACAGCATTGCCTCCCTTTGTAGAGATAAAATCTCAGTATTATGGGTTTGGACAGAAGCGTTTAAATATAAATGCTATATTTACCTTGCTCAAAATAGGAGGAATTTCTCTTTCTTTTACCTATATACATGACCAGTATATATCTGGTTATATATCTATATATGTATCCAGATAGATAGATAGATGAAAGCACAGGTTCAGGGGGAACCCAAAACAGATAAGCTGCTGGTTGGGTCTGGAAGCTGCTCTGGCTGCCGGGCAGCAAGCAGCAGCAGATGCTGTACATCTGATGTGGTGGCCTGCTTCACAAGGAGTCTTACTTGGCGCAGTCCAGGATTCCTGAGTAGGTGTCCTCGTTCACTCCTCTCTGTAAGGACTGCAGCCGCGTTTTGATCACTGGGGGGAAAGAGAGAAGAGAGACAGTGGTGAGCACTGGGAACATAGCTCGTTCTTCAGCGGGCAAGAGCCACCCACTCTGAGAACAGTGTCTTTGAAACACAGTCAAAATGAGATCACCAAAAGCACAGACCATTTTCATGTATATATCAGCAAAATAGGGGAAAACAAACCCACTCCTTTAAAAATGGATAAAAGAAAAACATGGCCACCCAAAAACCCACCCTCTCCCCTCACTGTGATCAAGGTTTCCAAGGCTGACTTAAGCTTTAAACAATTCCGAATTCAGACAGCTTTCTGCAAAGTAGGAACTTTATTTTCAAATACTTAGCTCCTTCTGTAAAAAGTATCTAAAATATAACATGCTGCTTGTACATTTCTTCACACCTTGGAGCATGTGAAATGCTGGGGAGAGAGGAGTTACTTCTTGGTGTTTTTCACAGCAGAGAAACCAAGGTGGTGTTTAAGGCATCTGCTGTGGAGCAGGAGAAAAGGCCACAGATCTAAGGCTCCCCCTGACCATGCATGGTTGTCCATGACCCTATACATGTAAATGGTCTGCATACTATCACTCCACATGGAAACGTGCCTTTTCAGGGGCATGTCGGCAGCCATTCCTGCAAAGAATGACTGAAACGAATGACACCCTCTTCCTGACTTATCTAATGAATACTGCAAACCTCTGTGTAAGTTGTGGCCAAAGGCATAGCTCATCTGAAGGAAACACCATCTGAGCTGGAGGTGGTTCAGACAGCAGAGTGTCTCCTGTACCTCCCTGTGTGCTCATGCTGCAAAGTAGCTGGCACGGTCACTCTCCTCCTCACCTAGCCCACTCATGGGCCTCTGACTCCTGTCACTTGGCACCAGGCCACCAGCAGAGGCTACTGGGGACTCACCATCACAAGGATTGACAGCCACCGCAGCCGTACTGCCAGCCACACATCCAGAGAGGAAGGACACGTAGAATGGAGCCTTGACATTGGGGTCCTTCTGGCCCAGCTTGTTCAGGTTTGCAAACAGCGGGAAGTAAACAATGGAGAACGGGACATCCCTGAAGTGGGGAGGGAGGAAGGGGAAGAAAGAAGAACAAAGTCAGATGAGCAAAGTCAGAATGGAACACCAACAAACCGAGCAACAAAGGAAGGGCTGCAAGCATCATGAGTGCAACCCAGACATCCCAGCTCTGCAATGGCAAGACTGGAGCTGAAACTTGACACGAGCAAAATGGATTCTACAGGCCCACGGGACGCATGCAGCCCTGCAGAGTCAACAGCCTCCCCCTCATCTTTCAATGCTCAACCCCAGCACATTCAGAGGTCAATCGTTTTGTCCACTTCTGTTAATTACAAGAGGTTCACATTCTATCTCCTATCCTGCTGGGCGTTGCTTTAGCCCTGTCTTTGCTAAAGCTAGAGTGGAGTCACTCTGAAACACCAGGTAAAGGGTGTCAGAGTGGGCACTGGTCCTTGCATCCAATATGCTCCATGGGTCAGAAACCATTTCACACTCTGGAGAATCAGGTTGACAGTTTTGCTTTGCTAGCTCACAAGGACTTCTCTACAGTGTTAAAATATGGATCATGGGGGAGACAAAAAAATTCCACAGAACGCAGCAGAATTAAATCTTCCAGGAACAAAAAGGCAGCCCCCCTTGTTTCCCTGACCTTTCCTTCTTTAATGTGCAAAACCTGTGCATGGAAACAAAACCAAACCAAACCCACACGCCTTGAAGTCATCATCCCCTTTGCAAGCTCATCCCCTCGATGGCTGGTGCTTTAGGTTCAACTCTAGGAACACCGGTGCCTTGTGCTCGAGCTCAGCCCACCCTACCTTAGCAGCGTGGCTCCCAGGCCCTTGTAGAGTCCCGCGATGCCTTTGCTCCGCAGCAGCTCCCTTGTGATCTGTGTGGCTGTGGTGCGCCTTTCCACCGCCGGCTCCGCCGCCCCCGCCGCCGAGGAAGAGGAGAGCTGGGCCTGCGCTGCCATCAGCTTCTTCTGTGCCGCTGGGGAGGAGCAGAGAGAGCATTGGTCTGCAAAGTGCTCAACGATAATCTCTTGGTGCGCGGTGCCATGGGACAATGAGGAAGGGGCAGATCTCCAGCTACACCAAAATATGCAGACGAAGGCCAGCGAGGTGCCCTGCAAGCTCTTCCTCCCAGTCTGCCCATCCTCCTGTTCTTTGCTTCCTTCTCTTGAAAGCAATCATTAACCTGGGGAGGTCCTCAGACACATTTACAAAAGCAACCTAGTCTCTCCCAGCCTTTTCAAACTGATGCATTTCTGCTCTTTGGCCAGAAGATGGAGAGCACATCAACCTGTAGGCAACCCTCTGAGGGCCACCAGCACACCACACAGGGAACGGGCTGTTCACAGCAGCAAAAACCTCTTCTGAACCCTCAAACCATGGCTTAATTCCTTCAAACGTTTTAAAATAATACGAACAAAGAGGATAAGGTCTGCATTAAAAACAGCGAAGAGAGGAAAGAAAAAGTAAATCCATGATTATTCATGAATCCCACATCAAAGGAGAGATTAAAGGATAAATTGGCCTGTTTTCCAGGAAGGGCCACAGACGTGGGATCTAACAGTGTCATGCAGAGCTCCTGGGGAACGAGGCCATACCCTGGGCTGAACTCCGGAAGAATTTAAGGTGACAGCAAACAGCTCTTTCCCCCAGGAAAACACTGGTCCCTATTCTCACCAGAAATGGCCCACAGTGTTTCACCCAAAAGGCTCGCACTCCCTCCTGTCTCTGCCTGCCAGTTCCTGCCCACAGCCCTGAAAGCCTGACCCCAAACCTCTTCCAAATCCAGTGAGGCAGGAGAATTTTATTTACTGTTTCAGCCAAGACAACTGCTGCTTTTGTCAGGAGGAAAACAAAACTAAAAAAACCCAAACAACCGGAGAGCAGGAAGGGAGACAAGTCAATTGGAAAGGACAGGTCCTCTTGGAAAGCTGTTATGGAGGTGCTTCAGGGCAGCAGAAGAGAAAGAACAGACATCACAAAACATGGAGATGGAGGAAGCACCACAGGAAAAGCAGTGGAGGATGCTAATCCCTTCTTGGGTGGCACAGCAACTGACAAGTTTTAATCACTCACAAGCTGACCAACCCAGTCATCTCTCCTGTCTGTCTCCATCTACAGCATCTGCTGTTTCACTTGCCAAGCCTACTGCTTTGAGCAAAAAAAATCATCACCTTTTCTAACTGTAAGGGCCTCTGCAAAGCCAGATGAGCAAAGGGTGGGGGGAAACGAGCTGGGAAGCGGAGGAGAAACTTCTGCTACACCCTGAGACACATCTGGCTTGGGAGAGGAGGTGGAAGGTTTTTTCCACTCATTCCCTCCCCCTGTGCCTTGACAGCCCAGTCCCACCCCTCTCCCCTCAAGCCGGCTCAGTGCACAGGGAAGAGAAGCCCACCTACCAATTCGTCCCGCGTCCTGCAGCTGGATTTTGAGCATCTCCATGGGAGTGGTGACAATCACCTGGCAGGTACCCGCGCCGCAGCCCGCTAGCATCTCCCTCAGCAGTGTCAGCTTTTTCCTGCCCAAAGAAAAGAGAGAAAGAGTCAGTCAGAGGAAGTGGCCTGGAGTAATGTTGGGGCAGCTGGGTGCAGTAACTTGGGGTTACGGGAAAGGCAGTCTGGGGGATGGGGGAACCTGCTAGGCTTGACAGTTCAGCACAGCCCAGGCTTGGCATCTCTGCCAGCATCACCCGATCTGGAGGAAAAAACCCATTTTAGCCCCAGAAACAGAACATTCAATAAAAAGCTGCAAGCCCAGCCAGAACAGCCCCAGACATGAGCATCTAACCTTTTCCATCTCCAGGGAGAGAACTGCAGCGCTCTTCCAGCCCAGTGTTGCGCCCGGTCAGGGCACAGCCTTCAGAAAGAATGTCACTTCAGAGGGCAGCAGAGGACCCAAGTATTAAGAGGATAAGCAGCTTTCCTTCTGCCAGCCTAGTCCTTTAAACACCGTCAACATCCACATAAACAAACAGAGAACACGGGGCAACAGGCAAGGGGAAAATATTCAAGTTGCTGCTTTGGAGTTCTTGGACAAAAGTAAAATAAATAAATAGTGAACATGAGAGTCAGGGAGGCAGTTCCCCTGTGGTTAGGAGCTTCTTCTCTTCACGAGCATGAAAAAAGGAGCCTTTGTGCTAAGCTGGTCCTGCCTGAGGGAGGGGATGGACTCCCAGCACTGCAGCATTATGCATCCTCTGCACTAGAGAGTGGGGATTACCAGCAACGTGCCTAACAAAATGCAGCACTTCACAGGTCCCTCCATCCCACAGCCATGAAGCAGCCCAGCTAAGAATAAAAAGAGGAACTCAGGATGAGTGGTGAGAACGGTCAGAAAGCCTCAATTTTCAGAAACTGATGAGTTCTCAACCTGTAAAAAATCTCACCCCTCAGCACCAGAAACAACTGACTTGATTGGAAAAAAAAAAAAAAAAATCCTCTGTGTTGCTCTTTTCTAAAATGGGAAGAGGAGGGGCAGGAGGGAGGGAAGGGAAGTACCTATAAATCACACAGCCAGTGGGAAACAGTCTCCTCTTATTTCTGTTTCAAATGCAAGTACTATTTTTACTCACCCCAGCCCTGCTCCTGCAGCATTACCTCATCTTAACCTACTCAAGGCAAGTCCACACACTATGGCAAAAGCAGTCCCACAATACTAAGCCTTATTCCCTTGCAAAACCACACCACGCTTCCTTACCAGGGGTTTCATATGCACACACACACAGCTGTGGTACTGTGGGCCAGCAAAGAAGTTTCAATACCAACCCTATAGGAAAGGGAGGGGAGATGTGCCGTAATCCTGCTGGCCCACCACGTCAGCTGGGCTGATTTCTCCACCTCTCATCTTCTCTGGGGAGGATATCAGAGCAGGGGATTAGAGGCACAGAGCCACAACGGAGATTACCAGCAACTAAATATAGAGCTCTCCAGTGACGCTGAAGGGAGGAACGTTTCACGGTCTCCCCTTTCCAAATTCTCCCACAGATGAGAAGCTGCAAGGAACAATCCCTCCCGTGGTGTCACCCACATGGACACTGAAATGTGTGCAGCAAGCTTTCCTGGAGATATGCAGGTATTTCCATCTAAACGTGAGGAGGAACTTCATCACTTTAAGTGTGGCAGAGCACTGGAACAGGTTGCCCAGAGAGGTGGTGGAGTCTCTGTCTCCGGAGATATTTAAAACCCACCTGGACAAGTTCCTGTGCAACCTGCTCTAATTGGACCTGCTTTGTCATGGGGATTGGATTAGATGATCTTCAGGAGGCCCTTCCAACCCCATATTATTCTGTGATTCTGTGATCAGGGTGTGCAAATCCAGAGGTCCTCCCTAGATACCTGGAGGTGGCCAAATTGTAGCTTTTGGGTGGCGTGAAGCACAGTGCCAGTCTCTGTGTGGCTCAATGCAGTCAGCAGCAAGGCTGTACAACCCCTAGCCCAGCAGTGGGAGGAGGCAAACCACCCAAAGGAGCTAGCTGCCAGTCCCCCTCTGTGGCACAACAGAGCATCTCCCACTTTAGCAAGAGCCCTGGAGCATCCCTGGAGTACACATCTCTTGGCTTTCAACCAGAGTGACAACTTTGATACTTGGTTCAAAAGATCAGGAAGATTTGCCCTATGTGTTCATATGTGGACCATTATCCCAACCAACAAAAGTCAGCCTGGCTTGACTGAACTCCACGGAGCTATGCCAGTGTGACCCAGTGTGAAGGATTTACGTGCATGGGTGTATTTTAGAGATGTCAAACAGGTACCTCAAAAACATCTAGAAAAAGGGCTTTCAGCTTTTGGTTTGCATTTCCTAGGACGGGAGTCCAAGAGAAAAATAGCCTAAGATAAGCAAATCTTTTGTCAGAAGGTTTAAAATTTGCCGTACAGGGGTCAAACTCCCTTTGCAAAACCTCACCAGTCTGCACATAAAGGGAGTTTGAAAATGGTTCATCTTCAAATGACAAAGGGGTTTAAATATTTAAGGCATCACAGGCCTTATCCTCAATAGTTTAAAAACTGGCACGTCTCAACTAACTTCAAAAGCTGCAACAGCAGCAAGGATCTGGTCCTACGAACGCAGAAACTATCTTTTATCACAGCAAGAGGGCGTTAAATATAACATATAGACAATAGCCCCAAATTCTGCACTGGAAGAAACCAGTCGTTACACTTTTTTAACTGACATGCAATTAATTAGTGACAAATCAACAATGTCAAATGGGAAGGGGAGAAGATTCATGCTCAATCTAAATTAGTTTCATACTGGAGCCGAAAACTAACACAGTCAAAAAGCAGGAAACTAGAGGTTTATGGAGAGCTTTTCAAGAGCATTGCATCAATCCAAAGTTAGGATCTCTGAAAGTATTGGTATATTGATGTCACATGGCAGCAGAGTAAGACTTTTTTCAAGTCTCTGAAAAGTCTTGACCATGTAGGAGTTGACTGGGCTTGGCCAGGGATCAAAACCAGCCATTCTGGAATAAGGATGACAAGATTTCCACAGACAGGAAATCATTGACCTAAGGAAACATCCATATAAAGCTATGTGTTTCCATTTGCTGCCCAGAAGTCTACTGTCCTCAGCTTGGATATCACCTTCCTCACTCATAAAATAACCTCTGCCGCTGGCCTGTTAACCCAACAGATTGTAGAAAGCTCCCCAGAGCCAGCTACTTTCAAACAATTTAAATAGTGGGTCTTTGATATGGATTAGGGAACCAACAAACAGGAGTCGTCCATCAAAGGGAGGGCAACCTGTCTGCCACAGCCACACAAGGGCATGCACACAAACTGACAGTCAGTCCCTTTAAGCCAATCCCTGATCTTCCAAGAGGGAACAACAAGCTGTTGCCATCACACTTCACAAAAGCTGGAGTATGATGCTGGGAAATGCCAAAGCAAGAAAGTTTCCATTACAAGCTCCCTCTCGCTTCTAGTGCCAGCTCAAAAATGCCTCAGACAAGCAAAACAAAGCACTGATGTGGGACAGGTCCACCTCAAAGTAACACCACCAGCAACCTGGTCTAGTGGGAGGTGTCCTGACCCATGGCAGGGAGGTTAGAGCTAGAGGATCTTTAAAGTCCCTTCCAACTCTAACCATTCAATGATTCTATGAAATATTGCTCTGGCAGACATTACTCCAGCTATGGTACGACCTACTTCTGGCTGCAGGAGCTCTGTGTTTCATGTTTGGACTAAGTCACAGGATGGCGACTCTGTGCCTGCACTCATTACATCAGGTTTGCCCTGGAAGGAGATTCCAAGTGATTTTTTTTTCCAATATGAATGTCTGTGAAAGTGAACAATGGACAGGGCAGCACGTCTGGGCCTGCTGAACATGAACACAACCTGGTTTTTGTCCCAAGACATGCACCTGGAATACACTCTCATGGATGTATTCTGTGATTAAACAACCCATCTCTATCTCCCTCTAGATTAACAGTTGAAAATACATTTACTTTCTGGCTGACCTTTGATATCTACAACTTCAACCCACTGTAATTCCCTGAGCCTCTGTGCTAAATAAAAGATCCCCCCCCAGACAGCTATCCCTGAATAAGCACAGTGAGGTTATCAGCTCTTAGCTGCCTTTTTCCCTAGGGGAATGGCTGGATTCCCTCACCTATGAGTCCCAGTGGGTTGGATGAGGGTTATCTGCATTAAAGAGGTGTCTGGACATCCAGTGGATAACTACAGAAGAGGCTGCCTTGGCCCACAGGGGTTCCTGCCCTGAGAAAGACCAAAGCACAGTGTGTGCAAAGAGACACTGCAGCTCAGCACCAGGACTAGCAGCAGCATCCCTCCTTCCTAAGTCAAGAACCTCACTTGAGAGCCTGTCTGAGCATTTTGCAGCTCAAGGATCAACCAGGCCATGCAATGGCTACCTAAAGAGATGCCACAGAAGAGATGGTCCAAGTATTTTAGGAGACCCTGAAGGAGGAAAAGATGAAGGAAGGAGCGCTGGGGAGACATATCAGCTGGAAAGGCAATGGAGTACCATCTCCATGGTAGAGAAGGAAAAGTGCCTTGCTTGTCTCAGGATTACAACTGGCTATTTCTCTTCTCTGAGCAAAGCTACAAGGCAGCGGGAAGCAGAAAGGAAGAAAATTTGTTGGCATCAGCAAAGACTCAATTAACACAATCGTGCTGGTCTTCTGAGCTGCTAAGTCAGCAGATTGCCAGCCTTTTCTCCAGAACAGCAAGCAAAATGAAGGTCAAGATTAAAGAGGACAAGAGAAGTAAAGGAATAACACACCTTTGAGAAGAGCAGCAGGAAACTCATCCAGGGACACTAAAGAGTTTTTATGAGCAAGAAATTGCTTTTATGAGAAGCCTTGATACACTTTTTACCACAGCCAAGGAACAATATTTAACCAAGAACCTGAAGAAGTCACAGCAAAACCTGGCAAACACATGCCAAACACAACAGCTATCTGGTACTCAACACTTTGGAGATAAACATGAAACCTTGTAGGACACTTTAAAGGGACTGTTTTTCATGAAGTGTTTAACACCCCAATTCAAAGAGGACACAAAATGCAGGCAATACTTAAATCTATCGAAGAGGCTTCACACACTGAGCACCCAAAAAAATCAACAATGTACTTTAAATGCATGTTGATGTACTCCCAATTTAAATCACTTTCTTAGCTTCATACCCAAGTGCTTCACACTCAGGTGCTTCATTTAGCCCTCATGACTCCTTACATCCTCTGCTCTATTTTAGTAGTAGCTGTGAGATCACGAGTCTCTCAACACATCCAGCTTCAGAAATCCCGAGAAAAAAACCCCATCTCTTTCCAGCAGCCTGAAGGTTGGAAGTTCCCCCTATCTCGCATGTCCTGCCTTCCCCAGCCATGTGGTCCAGCCAGCATAGAGTGCCACAGGAACAAGGACCTGTCTGAAGACTCTTCTGTGGGTCATTTCTTTTACTTCTTCTCCTGAGAACTGCAGAGACCCTCAGGCCAAAATAATCACAGAATAATGTTTGACCCTTATTGCTTTTCTCAATCAAGGTCATGGGGTGCCCTTCAGGTTTTTCAGTATCTTGGTTTTCCTCCTTTCCCCTGTGGCATAGCAAGGGGGTTTCCAGCACTCCCACAACTCACCCAGGCTTCCCTTGTTCCTAAATAACCAGGACAGTTTGGGAGGATCAACACAGTTTTGTTTCCTCATGAAACAAAAAGCTGCAGCAGTAGGCTGTCATAATGGCGTCGACATCAAAATAGAAACAGGCAAAGAAGCAGAAATCAAGCTCCCTAGCCTGTGGGCACACATCTTTCCTGCATGAGAAGGAGAAGAACAACATTGTTCGGGCAGGAGTGCCCTCCTGAGCTAGTCCCAGGGTGGAGAGGGTCACAGGAACAGACATCTCCAGACTCCGGGAGACAGATGCACCAACAAGGGCACGAGGTCCCACTGACGCAATACTCCAGCAGCATCCAAGATGACAGCCAGGGAAAAGGGAGTCTAGCACAAACCTGCAGTGATACATCCCCAAAATATTCTCCCAGCAATTTGCAGCCAGGAGCTTCCCACGCCACAGGTGTTGTTTTCAGTCAGGCCTTTCAAAAACAGGCTTGATGCCACTTTTTTCCTAGCAGTTTAAAAAGCAAGTTAATTTCAACTCTAAGTTTTTTCAAAGGATAAAAAAATAAAAACAATGCACACTAAAAGTTGTTGTGTAACTTGGGGCTATTTTGGTTGATGCTGGATTTGCCACACTCTTGCTGGTCCACACATGCTTCTTCCACTTGCACACAGAAGACACCCTCAGCATATTTTGATCAGCAAATACTCATAGAACACGCACATTTTATCAGACAAGGTTCTCCAATCCATGGAACACATTTCAAGCAAGACAAGTGCTAGAAGCTTAGCAACAAAGGCATTCAATGTCAAACAGGTCCAGAAGACTCTTCCAGCTTTGAGTCAGAAAAGCACCAGAGCATCCTTTGGGACGCTGGCCTAAGAGCACAGCATACTATGAATGCACAGCAGGTGGTTCAGCTTGTGCAAAAAGGACTTTGGTGAAGCTGAACCAAGATCTTGGTGGCTCACCATGAAAAAAAGCCCCCAGACTTACGCTGAGCCTGATGCCCTCAGCTGTGCTTTACACCATATAACACCGTTGCAATTACTTATCCAGAAATGAAAACCACATTGACATGCCAGGCAGCCTGACTCTTTACCTTTCTAACCCCAGGCTATTTTGTTGTTCGGACTGGAGTTGTGAAATAGGTGGCCCAGCCTTGCAATGAGCTAGCAGGTACATACCCTGTTTTGCCCTGGGTAGGAGAGGCGTTTGGATTCCAAAACTGCTAATCCTGCCCTGTCTTACAAAGACAGGGGGAGGAGGGGACAGAAGCATCTCAAGGAAGAAACCTGCAGACTGCAAACAGCTTGGAAAGAGGAAGCAAGAGCAAGAAAAACCTTTGGGAAGGACACAGCTTTGTGACTTAATGAAATGGCCTCTTGCCATCACACCCATGCTACACGTGGGAAAAGATCCTGGGAACTGCCAAAGGCAAGGTAGCATGCAGCTGGAACTGCAGCACGGCCAGGCACAACCTCTCTGGCAGGTTACATATTCCATCCCCAGGATTTCCCTAGCATGGAGGAAAAGGATCCCATGGTAAGCAGCTGCTCTGCAGTTTCTAAGGGCCCTTATCCTCACTGGTAATGTCATGGCCTTTTTCATCACCTCTTGCTCCCCAAGCACAGTCACAGCATGCACCAGACGTTCCCACCAGATCCCAGGTTTGTAGCCTATACCAGCCACAGCCAACCTGCAAGGCACTTTCTTGCCCATCACATCGTGGAGTGACATTTCTAGTTAGAAAGACCTTAAACCATACATCACAGCAGTATCAATGCTCTGCCTCTCTGTCCAGCTCGTGTTGGCTGTTCTCACAAGTAGAGTTGACCGGATTTTATTCATCCAAGCCCCCCATAGTGGTTGAATGAGATGAGTGACCTCAACTTCACATGCTGCCTAGCTTTCATCACCTAACTGTGGTAAAACCTTTCTTTTCTCTAAAGGAGTTAAAAATGCTTCATGTTAAGACACAAAGGCTCCCAACCACCTGAGTGGTATCACGCTGCTGCTCCAGGTCACTGTAGTGCCAATCCTATCAGTGCATATGTTTTAGGAGAACAGGGTGTCTTACTCTTGGCAAAACTCCCTAGCTCTTTATTCTGAATCAAGCACAGCACATCACCCAGGTCACGTGTGGATCAGACAGAAACCCAGAAGTCAAACTGGAAGAGGCCTGGGTGAAGACCTCCATTGCTCGTGGAAACAGCTGCATCCCCCTTACCCAAACACCTGCTCAAAGCCCACCTCAGCACTGAGAGGCAGACACATGTGTCCCATGAGGAAGTCTTTACCTCTCATGGTGCAGGGCATGTACTGACAAGGATGTCATGTTTTAGTGGCTGAAACACCACGGCAGTGATTGCTCTCACAGAACACCAAACACCTTGCAATGCTGGTCTGATTTCTTCCATGAGCTACTCTCTCAGTGGTGGTACAAGCTGTGGCAGCTTGGCACCCTTCCATCTTCCCTGTACAACCTACTAAGCCCTCAACTTCATAGGTGGTGGCAAAGAGCTAGCTCTGCTCCTGTCTACTGCAGTATTCCAGGGCCTGCTGCATTGTCAGCAGCAGGGATCAGGCCCACGGCTTGGTAGAAGCAAGCAATGAGGACATCACTACCTCCCACTGTCTGAGTGGAGCAAAGAAGAGACGCTATTTGAAGAGACAGAAAAATCACAAACAGCTGCGAGCCGATGAGTCACACAGACATATGTTCGCTGCTACTTTAAAAGACTCCAGAACAAAAAAAATAGGTACATGAGAAAAATAGATCCTCAATCTATGTCAGTCCACAATCTCCACTGAAGTAGTTGAGCCAGGGATCTGCAGCAGTTGAGACTGATGTGGTATGTTATGAGAAGTTGTTAAACCAACTAATTGTAGCAGAGCCTTGCATTCTCAGTGAGGCTTTGCCCCATCAGTGCTAATGGGAAGAGTCAGGATCATAACCCAAGCAGGCTGTTTTCTAACTGCTGTCACTGAGGACGGGAGACAGTGCACTTCACTGGCTGTCTCTGGAGAAAGGTCTCACTCTGAAGGGAGACACAAGTATTCTCCAAATTGCAAGGGAAATATCTTGTTGAAAACAGCATTAAATATGCAGAGTCCAGCCCCTCTCAACTGCTTAGCTATCATCTTTTACTCACTTTTAATTCACATGAACCAAGCCCCACTTGCACGCTGAACAGATAATTTTATTCCTTCAGCATTTATTTGAAGGTCAGCTGCAAGTACCCTTTGTCAATTCAGATTCACCACCTCTCTAAAACTATTTTCAAACTGCAAAAGGACAAGAGGGATGCTAAGTTTGGGGTCTACAGAACTTGACTTGCCATCTGCTCAAGCCAGAAAGAGCATAACAGCACCCAATAAGACGCTGAGGACAAGGGTCCTCCCAGCAGCTGTCTGAGCAGTGATCAGTGCCATTGGGTTCCTTTCAAATATTTTGCCTACAAATTCTGGATCTGCTAACCTTGGCTTAGATCTGGGACTATTTTTAGGAGCTTGAATAAAAAGCAATCATCCAGTGGAGTGCTTTTCACCTCCCATTTTAGACATTACATCCTTAGCCCAAATGTAATCACCGGCTGAGCTGTTCAAGGTCAACTCATATTTCAGTCATCACCCCATTCCACCTTTGCCCTGGATAGCTCACCAGACTTGTCCCAAGAGCTGGTGTCTTTTAAGTTGAATGCAAAAGGTCTGCACCCTCTACTCACCCGTCTTTGGAGAGGTGATGCCGGAAGAAGTCATTGGCTGCCAGTTTGATAGCCTTTTCTGGTGTCACTAGAGTCAGGTTCACTGCAGCCCCTGGGTATGGAAAAGAGGAAAAGCCCATTAGAGAACAAGAATGAAGAAACCATTAACTGGATCTTTCAGGAATGTGCTGGGACTCCTACTCAAAACCAAGGACTGATGAAGGAGAGCTCCCAATGTACCACAAGGGTTTAGAAACATGAAACACCACTGGAAATTAATAGGATTTCTGCCTTCCAACACCTTGGGTTTTTTAAAACATCCCCTGATGTGTTTCTATTCCATTTGCCATATGGTTTTTGTAATTTCTTTAGCTTCGCTACTACCTCCCACCATGCATACATGCATCCTCTTCTCTCATCCAAGGATGCATTCCTATGAATCCAGAAGGATGCAGATGAGACCTTCAAGAAAGGAGTACAAGTTGGATTAGTAACCAGTCCCAATCCTTTTGCAAATATTTTGTCATGCTGAGAAGGAAATGCTCACCACCCCACCTTCTTGCTAGTGTCCCTGCCCCACCACCACCAAAGGCAGAGCAGTTTGTTTACCCAGCAGCCCAGAAGAGGCAGAGCCACTGAAAGTCTTGGGGGCTGGTTGAAGCCAACTAGCTCATCTGCATAGAAGTGATCCAGCTCTTGACCAACCCTTGGAGTTAAGTGGCTTCCCTTGTATATCACCACTGGGTGTCACTCTCAGAACAGCCACCGCTGAAGTGGCTTTTTGTCCACCACAAACTGCAGAGTACAGAAATTCCCCTCTGAGCACCATGGCAAGGCTTGCTGGGGGACCTTTTGTCAGGAGCAACTAACAGCAAATCCCTGTATTGTGCCTGCCACAATGAGAGGTCTGTGTGGCCTGGCAGGCCGCTGTGGGCCATGGACACCGGCATTAATGCAACACAGTGGCTGGGAAGGCAACTTTCAAGCTGCCCTGGGGGAAAGTGGGTGAGGAGAGGGCCAGTCCCTTCTGAGCACACTGGGCTTTGCACCATTAGATTAATATTCTCCTCCCTTTAAATCTTACGGCTCAAAAAGCCCTCCATGTGATGACCACAAACTCTCCCTGCCTGCAGTGAAGCATACTGAGCTTGAAGCCATCCAGAGGAGTTTTGCTTGAGACTTGCTAATGGCCTATGAACACTTTTGCAAGGACAAAGACATACTAGGGTGTATCTTTGCATTTAGCCTACTGTAGAGACTTAAACAACTTGTCCCAAGGCTCCTTTTTCCAAAGAGAAGCAGACAGAGAAGTCTGCCCTCCTACTAGGCTCCAAAGACATGTTGGGGTTCATTTTCAGGGGGTCTGAACACAAGTTGACTGGAGCTATAAGGGTTCAACACATCTAAAGAAAGGTAACTCAGTCCTCTCTTGCTCAGGATGGACCACCCTTCCTCCAAAAATTATTAAAGAACTCCTAAATTAGATATGGAAAGACATAGGTTTAGGGGAACTTTCCTCAGGTTAGGAAGTAAAGTCACAACTGGGACTTTTGGGACCAGTACAACTGGGACCAGGACACATGAATCCTTGACTTTGCATCCTCTGCTCAGAGGACGTATCTCCATCATGAAGGAAACTGCAGCAAGAAAGTAGACAGCCTTTGCTGGGCAGGGCTGGGCACATTTTTCCCCACTTCTGACTGCCATGTTCAGATTTTGCAGAAAATACTTGTCTTGTAGCAAGCTAAGCCAATGCATTCATTCCACACTAGCCATGACATCCAACAAATACCATCATCTTCTACAGGAACCCAATCAACCAGCCAGGGAGCGGGGTAGCCCTCTCACACTCTTGGGTTTTTGAAAACTTAAATGTATCAGTGATTGTGCTGCTTCAATTTGATATGCTTCCATCATGTCCCCCCAGCATGGCTCTTGCACATGATGAGAAGCCACACAGACATGACCCTCATGCTCTACCTCCACCTTCTAATGTGAATAATATCAGGATCCAGAAAGCAAATCCACGCAGCCTGATTTTTGAACGGAAGAGGCTCCCTATGAAGTGTTTCCGTGAATGCCAAGTTGATGAGAACTTCACACCCATCCTAATGGCTAGAAAGTAAACCACCTGTACATTAGTGACATGGAGCAAGAATAACCATTTCCTTGGAAAAAGGAGGAGAGAAAGAAAACAAGAATAAACCTGCTACCCTAACACCTGTGCAAAGGGTTCATTGAAAGAAACTCCAAACCATCAAGCAAGAAAGGTAAGAGAGAAGTATGCTTCCCCATGCTGACCTCCTCCAGGCTTTCACAGCAATTGCTCCATCAATTGCAAATAAAGCAGAGGGTAAAAACACTATATGCAGAGAAAAGTTAATGAACCTGGGTTTTCTCCTACATCTTTGATATTTTCAGTAAAGCTGCTTAGCAGAGAACAGATAATCCCTGTCCTCAATAATCCATAACAGCTTCAATTCACTGGAGGAGGAGAAATTAAATACTTCAGCTGCTGGCTGTATGCTTTCCACAGTGTTTTCTACCATTTTACAAAATCTTACAGCTCTTCAATTCTAGCTATGTTAATGACTCCATTTCCCTAATTAAAGCTAACCTTTGCCTCTAGGCAATGCTACGTGTACCAGAAGCAATGGCAGACAAACAGAACACAAAAATAAATTGAAATAATTAAAAAATAGAAAATATTTTGAAAAGAAGTACAGAAGCACTACAAATCAAATTGAGACAAAACCAGTTGTTTGCCAGCTAAACTTCTAAGTGTTCTCCTCTCATTGAGCCTTGGGTTTTATATATATTCCACTGGCAACCTACATAACAGGGGGACTGAGTCATCCCCAGTGCTGCACTGGTGCACGTGGGAGGTATTATTAGCAGAGGCCAGGGAAGGCTGTCACACTACTGCAGCTAAACTGCAGCTACCCTCCAAACATCATCAACAGCAACGGGCACTTCCCCAGCATGATCTAGGCCTTTGGCTCCTGCAAGAAAGGCTAAATGGCTGGTCCACAAACAGCAGAGAGCACCCCTGCAAGGTCCCCTTTCCACCGGTGTCCACGTGGTCCAGGAGCCCACAGGCACCACAAATTCACTTCCTTGGCATCACATCTGAAGGCAGCACACTGTCATCCCTTAAGCACTGACAGGGCTAGACAGCACCACCCAGATTTGAGGCACACTGCTATCTAGATGTTACGGAAAAAACATGAGGAAAAGAAACTTCCTCTGCGTCCTTCCTCCAAAATAAACCAAGAATCCCTGTAACTTTTGGGGAAGAACTTGAGAGAAATGTTGCGATTGCATTATATATCACACAATTCACTATGGGCTACTGTTACAGAGCAAGGACCGTCTGCCCACACCCCCCCCCTTAAGAGATGACTTGCAGAAAAGCATCCTACGAGCTCAAGCCTTTCTCCTGTCACCCTGAGGAGCTTTGATTCACACGTGAAGGAGACCTGATGTCATACAGTAGGAATGGCTACGCCAAGCAGACCCTTCTGTCCTCCAATAGAGGCCAAGGGCCCTGCAGGGACAACTGACGTGCTTGTGACTCCTCCATGGGGCACAGCAGCTGTCGCTTTAGCACATTAACATATAATCCTCCCAATTTCAGCTTAAAGGCTGAAAATAAGAGCTTGTGAGTCACACAGCAACTTCTGCTGGGGATCTGGGACAGATGGAGGGAGCAGGAACCAATCCCACCACCTGACTTCCATCTTCGCCTGCCTGCAAGGCTGAGCCATCTCTTTACCTTCTTCGCAGAAAAGTACTCACATTCTTCATGATCTTGGATGTATTCTACCCCCGGGTCCTCTCCCCAGCAGTGAGGGAAGGGCTGTTAATGTCAGCTCACAGAATTGAGGCACAGAGACCAGGATTGCTGTACTCGGAGGACTCACCTTTGCACTCTGGCCACGCTGAAGTATCTATGAATTTCTGTAAGGAGCTGGAGCTATTCACAAAAGCCCTCTCCAAACCCAGCTCCCCATTTAATAGTCAGAGATGACAAGTAAATTCAAGCCATTATCAGCTCCCTGAACAGAGACAGTACAAAGTTAGCAGGACATGGACTAAGCTGATGTGCTAATCTGCACAGCAAGAGCTATGCAAGACCCCCAGCACCCTTTGAGATTTCTGCTTGGGGGTGAAAAGTGGCCTGGAGATTCACATCCCCTCCACCACCCTACACCTTAGAGGACTGAGCTGTCTCTCCCAAAAGCCCTGATGGGTCCTCCAGTCTCCCCTGTAAGTTTCCAGGAACAGCTTCTTCCCTCTGCTCCCCAGCAAGCAGCCTGCCACTGCTTATTTGCAGCCAAAGTTAATGCAGGCTCTGTTCCTGCCTAGGAACACAGAAGCAGCCAGCTTCTGGGAAAAATCAAGGGGGAACACGTCACTGCTAGCATTGAAGACGGAGCTTGCCAGGGTTCCTCGGGGTTATTTGTCTTGTTGCCTGCTCCCAGAAAAGCTGGCGTGAAGTAGCCAATCCATCCCCGGCATCCACCCCACTCCCCCGAAACGCCCACCAGCAAGTTGGGCAAGAGACACTGCCTCAACAGCCAGTGCCTGCTCCCAGGCCGGCCCCAGCGTCTGTGTTTCCTTAGAATCTACGGCAGAAGTGGCAAAAGACACCTCTGCTGCCAACAGCAAGGCGCCAGCGTCTCCAGATCCCCAGTTGAAAAAACAGAGCAAGGACTCACTTAATAAAAACAGTACTTTAGTCAGGCTTTATCAGTGAATGAGTGCCACAAAGAATGCTATCTGAATGTCTCAGAGATAAAAACTGCATATTCAGGCAATTGAATACCTGTATATAAAACGAACCAGAGTTCAGTGTCAACTAAACCAGTTGGACTGTGCTGAAAGCCAAGAAGATATTCCACATTTTCCTCTGCTATGAGTAAGTTCAGAACTTGGCCTGCCTCTCGCCTCAAAATCCTTAAAAACCTTCAAGGATTTTGTGTTTAAACTAGAAAAGATATAATGTCAATTGAGAAACTCACTGCTGCAACAGACAGCCTATGCCAAGGAGACAGGAGATTTCTAGCAGGTTAGCAGAAAATGACCAAATAGCTGAAGCTCCACCGTGAGCCAGCCTCTGTTTTTCTTACCACCACAAGGGTGTTTTTTCTGGGAACAGGTTATTTTTAATTTTTTTTTTTTGATTACAGCTTGTCTTAATACTTGAACAAGGCACACAGGCTTGCTTGAGAGAGAGCTAGTTTTGGAGACAAGCTAACAACTAGATGGGATAGCAGGCCTGACCACATTGCGGGGAGGGAGGGGAGAAGGGGGCCTTTGACACAAATTCAATCATCAACACCAAAGTAAGACACTTCAAGAGGTTTTCTACTGCCCCTCTGACAAAAGTTACTGTGCCCAAGCCGGCACATACACAGTCCTGAAACAGAGTCCAGCAGCTTCACTTAAACTGCTAGTAAAGATGAACTTTAACAGTAAGGTTTAACACCATGGGGAGGTCCCAAGCTCTCATCGGTGGAGAGCTGAGGAGACATCTGGTGTGCAGTTTATTTTCAGAAACAGCTGCATCTTTCAACATCTTAGGATATTGCTAGGTTATTCCTTTAAGACAGAGAATATGGGCTTTTCCTCCCACTTATGCACCAGTGCTTCCACCACAAAAGCTGTGCTGTGCCTGACTCAGCTTTACTTACCTCTGTACATGCCAAAGTAACCTTCCGACCGAATTGTTTTAATGAGGCAGTCAGACCTGCAAACAAAACGGAGAGAGATAAACCACAGGAGCTCAAAGGTGGGTGAGAGCAGAGAAAAAACAAAACAAATCTCTTGGAGTGGTTTTCATTACTATCTGTCAGCAAAACCCTGAGCTGAGAAGGGAACCGCGTCAGCCACTGAATGCACCATTGTTCAAGCCAGAGTCCAGTTTCAGCCCCTAATTCACAGAGGCTTTGAAACCCCCAGCTCACCCCACACGCGCTGTCTGCTTTCTAGAAACACAAAAGGGAGAAGTGTCACTGCAAGGGCTGTTTATCCAGGGTCCCCTGTGGCAAACACGCATGAGATGCTCTAACTGCAAGGGCTGTTTATCCAGGGTCCCCTGTGGCAAACATGCATGAGATGCTCTAACAAGCAGATCCCCATGCACATGTTTTTATTTCCCTTCCAGAGCTGGATTTAAAGGGGGCCAAGCCCCTAGTGCTGACTTGCTTGACTTACTCTGTGAAATTCAACACAAGGCACACAAACACTACATGACCTGAACGCTCAGTCATCTGTGACCTCCCATGCAGATTAAAGCACTTACTTTTAACACATCGGGTCCCGCAGCAGGCAGCGAGCGCTCAGGCCCTGGCCCTGGGGAGCGTGCGGCAGGGCGCCGCGGAGGCTGCTCCAAGGGGAAAACTGTTCCCTCTTTTGTTTCAACTGCATTTACCACAAACGGGAAAACCGTGCAGGGTGTCAGAATTGCTCAAAGCCTTTCGAAGGCACAGACACACACCTAACAAACCCAGAGATGCAGTTCAGGAAGGCAGCACGGATTACCTGGCAGAGTTTGCCTCTCTGGACCCAAGCACTGGCTGAAGGTTGCTTTGGGAAGGGACAGGCACTTGCCATGGCCATAGGGGAAAGGAGAGGTGGACATGCATGCATGAGTACATAATTAAGGAACTAGGCTCTTTTAAGAAGTAATAAGGGAGGCATAGCTGGAAAACAAGAATACGTTTGTAAGAGATTGGGCAACATAAGGAGTAAACTTCATCTCCACTCCATAGTAGTGCTGAGGTGGGAGAGAAGGAAACACAGAGTTCCCTCGAGGGCTTTATGGCCCTACTTGGGTCAAGACTGTTCTAGGGTACTCAACATTATTTGTAAAGACTCCATCCTGCATTGCTGCCAGTTACAGCAATGAGTTTCCCCTCTGCTGTGATTTCCTGTATCTTTTGGGACCCTGTCTTTCACACATCCCACCCCATCTCCTGCAGCTTGCACACACCCATCTTGGTCTTGGGAGCAGCCCCCCAGGACATTTGCAAGCCCCAGAAATCCCGGGTCACCTTTCTCCTATCCCTTCCACCAAGCTCCTCCACTGCAATGATGGAAGCAAGGCATTTTCCCCAAGCCAGCTGTGCTGCTCTGAACAAGCCACGGCAGAGAGGATGTTATCTAGAGGATGTGTTATCCCCATTACTTCCTTGTCCCAGCTGGCCCTTCACCCCCCAAAAGACCCTTTCACTTGTCCCCACCAGGCCAAGCTCACTTTCCCTACAGCTGCTGCCAACGCCACAGGAACACCTCCAGCATTATTCATTCACATCCAGGCTTTGTCAAAGACTCTTCGGAGGAGCCAGCTCAAATATACAGGATAAATCCTGTGTATTCCTTAACAGCACCTCATCCCACAACAACTCCTGGTTACGGAGTAGATCTGCGTTCAACTGCTGGATGTTAAAAGCCTCTCCTACCTACCGAGCTCCACTCCAGAGGGCATCCTGGCATACACTCCCAAGGGGAGCCTAAAAATCCTCCATCCCACCCTAAACTCCTGTTGCTGTCGCCTATCAGGTTAGGGGGAGAAGAGATCCTCAGGGAGAAGCAATCTGCAGCAGCAGCAGGAGCAGGACACAACAAAAAGGAGAGGCAAGGCAAGACAGGAGGCCACATCCTGCCAGCACGCCTGGGCACACAAACAGTGCAGGGAGCAGAGAGTGCTGTAACTGTCAAGGGTAGCACCATCCTGCCGTGGCATGCCAGAGCCTACGATCGAAGCTCATGCATAATTACATGCTGTCAGCTAGAGCAAGGATGCCCGGAGACTAAAGCCATCAACATACACAGCATTTCCTTCCTATCCCCGCTTTGCCTCAAATTCTAATGGGCAGGAAAGAGGAAAATATTGGGGTGGAAGAGCAGGTAACACTACTTCTGAACAAAGTGGCAGGAGGACAGGACACACATCATCAGTCCCAGTCCCTTCTCCCTCCTCAATGACACCAGTACTTTTGGAAAACTAAGGCCTGACTCCAATTCCTAGGACAAAGCATCTTGTGCTGAGGATGGTGCTCCTTCTCACAGCAGACATGCAAACCTAAGCATCCCACACAAATCCCAGGTGAATTTGGTGGGCTGGATATATTTGTGCCTTCTTTTCCTACAGCCTGCAGCATCTGATTTTTTTGGACATAGGACTGCTGGGGTAACTACAGCATGTGCCAATCTGTGATCCATCAAAAGGTTTGCATGCAGTGCTCTAACTGGGAATGGGTGACTTCTTCCTCTTTTTAAAACTGACACAGCAAAGGAAGGGATAGTAAACTCCAATATGAGAGTCATGGAAACAGAAAAGAGGCAGAAATTCCCTCATGCACCTGATTTCGGCCCAGCAGAGAACTGAATGGGGCCCCCTATGTTTTGGTCTTGAGTCCTGACAGCAGTGAACACGCTGCTCCCAAGCAAGGGATGCAAACACATGTGCCCTTAGCAGAGATTTCGCCTGCTGGGCTCAGCAGCCTGAATAGCTGCTTTGTTTGCTCTATCTGCTCTAGCACAGCTTTATTCAAGACTGTCCCCTGGCTTTCCTGGGGACAGCCCAGTTCCTAGAAATGCCAAACACATTTGAAAGAGGTAACAAAGTGGAAGGACTCCCTGCCAAAAGCCCCGGGGGACGCTGCCCATGCGGGTGGTACTCACATGCTGGTGTACAACCGCTGGCCATTCTGCTGGTTCTGCAGGCGAGTCTTCGCCAGGTCAATGGGAAATACACACGTGACCCCGATCAGCCCAGCTATCCCTCCATTGATCAGCTTGGCAGGTAAACTGTAGAGGGAGGAGATGCAGATAAACAGATGTCTCAGCACTGGATTAATGTCAGGGGAGGAAAAGAGGGAAGAACGGAGCTCTTTCACATGACCAAAGTTAACACATAGGCGTGGAACAAGACTGTCACCCCCCAGCACGAAGGCAGCTCCGCCTCAAGGCAAAGCTTGGCCCTTGCTGCACTACAGGGGAGGAGAAAGCAGCACACAGCATCAGGACAAACCACTGATGAGTGGAGCCAAACAGCTAAGCCACACATCACAAGAGCAAGGAAAAACCCTGTTCCCAGGACCCAAGGGCCTCTATTGTCCCTAGAGGAGAAAGACAGAGCGCTGGACCATCTACCACATGGACAGACTTCATTTAGGGCCTGATGGTATTCAAGCCAGCAGGTTTACAGCAAACGCTTTTCAGCACCGCAATCAGATACGCATCTAACCAGAGGTTCATGACACGTCAGCTGCTACCATCATGTGGGAACGAGCCCAGCAGAAAGTGCCCAGCTGGCAGCTGAGGAGCAGACAACTGCAGCTCCAGGAAACTGCTTCCAGACCCACTGCCCGGGGCGTGGGGAACACACACAAACCAACAGCTCGGTGAAACCACCGGACTGGAAGCCTGCGCGGCCGCAGATGCAGAGACGTGAGCTCATACCTCTCAGGGAAATCAAAACCTGGCTCGCTGCATGCGCTTCCAAAACACAGGGCTTTTTCTGCTTGCCTTTGTGTTCCCACAGGGAAATCTTGCAAGTGGTGCTGAGTGAAAGCCAGAGCAGCTAAACATGGGTTCCCAGAAAATTCAATTATGAAAAATGTCCAGCACTTACATGCTTGATAAACCACTACGCATAGAGACAAAGGAAGCCTGTTTGAGGCAGCTCCCTCCAATAAAGCACAGGATATGACTCTCGGAACACAGGATGTGTCAGATATTAAACTGATGGCTGACAGCAGTCCGAGATTGCAGCTGGGTGAGCTGGCGAGGCCAAGCCCTCCCATAAGGGGAATAGGCACGCTGCCTTCCATGACGGTGACAAAATGCTCTGGATAAGGGCACAGACTGCATTACCCACTGGAAGCAGCAGTGGTGAGGCTGGCCATGGCACAGTCAGGTGAAGCTCTGCAAACACATTCATGCCCAGCAGCACTGCAGAGCATTCTGCATCGAGGGGCAATCGCAGAGAGGATCAATAAGCAGCCATGCTGAAAGAGCTGCCTCTCAGCTCCAGGCTTGAGGGAAAGGCAGGATATGGAGACTCAGGGTTTCAATTTGAGGTCTCCTTTGGGGAAGCAGATAAAAGAGGGGTGGAAAAAAAAAAAAAAAGTCTTTGCCCACAAACGCTAAGCAACCTTCTTTCAGCCTCTGCTCTCCTGCAGCCAGAGCTCCTTCGCCCTCAACACCTGCACCAATACAACACACACACAGCCGCAGGGCTGGCACAGCTGAAAAGGGTGCCAAGAACACACAGACTAACCTGAGCTCAGCCTACATCCCCAAACAAGGCAGCACTGACCAAGATTAAATCAAGCACGATAGGAAGGCAGGCTCAAATCAGTGGATAAGCTCAGTGCAGGGCCAGACTGCAAGATCTCACCAGCTCAAGACTCTCTTGCTTCAGGGATCTTCACACTACAGTCTAAGAAGGAAATAGGTTTGCCTAAAAACTCCTACGCCCAACTTGTTCTCAGGACATGGGAAAATTTCAAACAGTAAGATTCACATCATGGTGCTCTCCTTATTTAGCACATAGTCACACTGAAAGAGGAGGTTAGAGACCAGATAGAAGTGTGTCAAGATGGAGGCACCACTGGGAAGGAGGATGTTTCGAGACAGGATCACATCAGCCTCCCCAAATTCAGCTCTGAAGTCACTGCTGGCAGGTCACAGACTGCAAGGCACAGCCAGTCCCCCTTTCCAGCCTCAGCACTGTCATCGCTTCTCTAAGTGCCCCTGAAACACCCAGGGCAGGCAGATGCTTGCCTCTCTCAACCTGTTCCAACAGTGAAATCATCACAGGGTTTATATCAGGTTGGAGTGAGACACAGACACATGGCAAACATCTTGCCTGCTGGCACTGCAAGTGCAAAAGACTCCCCAGTTTTAGCACAGAGACACATGGCAAACATCTTGCCTGCTGGCACCGCAAGTGCGAAAGACTCCCCAGTTTCAGCACAGACCCCCAGCAATAAAGGGGAATAGTGTGACATGCCTGGGCAAGCCAAAAATTTGGGCAACACCGGCTCTCACTCTGTTTGTAGGTGAGAAACCACTGCTCAACGCCCCCATCGCACCTGAATCCAACCCATGTGCGCTGCGGAGGAAGGCCAGTACAGACAGACTACACGGCAATATTCGGCGAGGTGTGGAGATCAAGTTCCACGTGCAGTGCTGCAGAAAGGCAATGCCCTCCATCTCACCTTACAGCAAACTACTGCTGTGGATTTTAGTCCTTTGGTATTGATCTCATTTTGCTAAGGGATGACAGATGCACACTGCAAGGGAATAGGGATTTGGGACTCGGCTGCCTGTGACTGCTGCAGACTTGTGGTCACGTAGATGGAAGAAATGACCCAATTGGGAGAGATGAGGGATTTTGGGCATGGAGAAGAACCTGTGACAGAGTGCACTGCACCTGAATCAAAAGCTTATTCGCTTGTGACTAAGTCATCCCACTTTTCACCTCGGTGCTCTCTACGCTTTTATGGAATGAAAATCCACTGTTCCTGGTCTCTCTGTCCTATTTAGCTTCTGCATGGTGGATAAGGGAAGAGCAACTGACACCATCTACCTGGATTTGTGCAAAGCATTTGACACTGTCCTGAACGACATTCTTGTCTCTAAATTGGAGAGACATGGGTTTGACAGATGGACCATTCAGTGGATAAGGAACTGGTAGGATGGCTGCAATCAAAGAGTTGCGGTCAACAGCTCAATGTTCAAGTGGTGTTCAAGGGTCAGTACTGTGACCAGCACTGTTTAACATCTTTGTCAATGACATGGACAGTGGGATTGAGTGCACCCTCAGCAAGTTTGCTGATGACACCAAACTGTGTGGAGTGGTCAACATGCTGCAGGGAAGGGCTGCCATCCAGAGGGACCTGGACAGGCTTGAGAGGTGTGCCCATACAAGTCTCTGACACCATCTACCTGGATTTGTGCAAAGCATGTGACGCTGTCCTGCACAACATTCTTGTCTCTAAATTGGAGAGACATGGGTTTGACAGATGGACCATTCAGTGGATAAGGAACTGGTAGGATGGCTGCAATCAAAGAGTTGCGGTCAACAGCTCAATGTTCAAGTGGTGTTCAAGGGTCAGTACTGTGACCAGCACTGTTTAACATCTTTGTCAATGACATGGACAGTGGGATTGAGTGCACCCTCAGCAAGTTTGCTGATGACACCAAACTGTGCGGAGTGGTCAACATGCTGCAGGGAAGGGCTGCCATCCAGAGGGGCCTGGACAGGCTTGAGAGGTGTGCCCATACAAGCCTCATGAAGTTCAGCAAGGACAAGTGCAAGGTCCTGCATGTGGGTCAGGCAAATCCCAAGTACAAATACAGGCTGGGTGGAAAATGGATTGAGAGCAGCCCTGAGGAGAAGAACTTGGGGGTCCTGGCGGATGAGAAGCTCAATATGAATCAGAAATGATGGATTGAAAGCAGCCCTGAGGAGAAGAACGTGGGGGTCCTAGTGGATGAGAAGCTCAATACGAGTCAGAAATATGCACTTGAAGCCCAGATAGCCAACCATATTCTGGGTTACATCAAAAGAAGCGTGGTCAGCAGGTTGAGGGAGGTGGTTCTCCCCCTCTACTCTGCTCTCATGATGCCCCGTCTGGAGTACTGCATCCAGCTTTGGAGTCCTCAGCACAAGAAGGACATGGACCTGTTGAAGCAAAGATGATCGGAGGGCTGGACCACTTCTCCTATGAAGACAGCCTGAGAGAGTTGGGGTTGTTCAGCCTGGAGAAGAGAAGGCTCTGGGAAGACCTTATAGCGGCCTTCCAGCAGTTAAAGGGGGGCTGCAGGAAAGATGGGGAGGGACTCTTTATTGGGGAGTGTACTGATAGGACAAGGGGTAACAGTTTTAAACTGAAAACCAGCAGATTTAGATTAGATGTTAGGAAGAAATTCTTTACTGTGAGGGTGGAGAGACGCTGGAACAGGTTGCCCAGAGCCACTGTGGATGCTCCCCCCCTGGAGGTGTTCAAGTCCAGGTTAGATGGGGCTGTGAGCAACCTCGGCTAGTGGGAGGTGTCCCTGGCCAAGTGGAGGTGTTCAAGTCCAGGTTGGATGGGGCTGTGAGCAACCTTAGCTAGTGGGAGGTGTCCCTGGCCAAGCACTGAGGTTGGAACTACAGACGATCTTCAAGGTCCCTTCCAATCCAAACCATTCTATGATTCTATGCACAGCTACCGATTCTCACTACCTAGGTGTACAGGGCTTAGTGAAACAGAAACAACACAGGCTAGCATATAAATAAAACCATTTGCTCAGTTTAACATCAGTAGGGACAGAAAGACATCCCAGTTCTCCTAGTAGTCCTCCTCAGCCCTTTTAACTAGCCCCTGTAGCCAGCAAACTCCTGTTCACACGGCAAGAGCACATAGGAAGGGCTGGGGGACATCTTGGAGGAGGCATCTCCCCTTCCTTCAAAATATCAAGCTTCAAATGGCCACAGACATCTGGTGGTTCTTTTGCTCTGCTGAGGCTATCAGAGCTCCATGGAGGTGAATCTCAGTGTACCCTTCATGGGTGTAAGAGAAGAGTGCCAAGTGCTCTCCAAATTGGGTAACTGATGACGGTCAAATCTAGGCACTCCACAATGTTGTCTTGTTATCAGTGCAGCTCAGGACTGTTTTGATTTGCAGAAGGCAGGCACACAGGAAAATATCTTAATCATAGCAAACGCTAAGAAGGGGCAGCCCTCTTGCCTGCAGCATTCAGGCATTGCCAAGTCCTGGCCCTCTGTCACCAGGTTTCATTCACCCAACTGACCGCTCCTGTCTTGAGCTGATAACTTGGAAAAGTAGATGTTAGAAGAGGGCCACAAAAAACTCATGGGAATCCCCCACCATGTAGGAGTCATTTATCTGGGGAAACTTCACAAGCAGCAGAGTTAAACCCATGTGCAGGACTGTGCAGACCCATTGGGCACAGCTCTTCAGAAGCTAAGGATACAACTTTATCTTTCCAGAAAACACAACCCAATTCATTTGCAGGGAGGACTCAAATCCAGCCTTTGCATAGGCCAGGGCCAACACTCTTAAGTTCCTGCTGTGCACTTAAGTGTCACTATTTATTGTTGGTACTTCATGTTCCTGCAATCACTCAAGCATTGACTGGCTTTAGAAGGTTACAAGGCTGCATCTATGTGGACTTTGTAATTACAAGCGCTGCATCCTTGGCTGGTCAAGGAGCTGGCTTTGCTCCCTTGATGTGAGCAAGTTGAAGTCAGCAGGTCAAGCTGACCTTTGAAAGAAGCAGCAAAAAGGAACCGACTCATGAAGGGTAAAAAGCAGAGGTCAGAAAGAAAAAGGCAGCTAGAAAAAAAGAACTGAAGAAAGCAGAGATGTTTCAACATGACAAGGACAGAAAATAACAGAAGGTTTTAAAAAAAGCAGGTAAAAAAGGGGAAAAGAAGGAATCAGAACTGTTTAAGGCCAGAAAAGATGATCAGGTGATTTCCTTGAGCCTCCTGTGTCATGAAAGGGATTAAATTTGAAAGACTTTAAAAGAAAAATCTAAAGCACAACCAATAGCTCAAAATTTTTTTTTAAAGTTACCTGATCTGTTTATCAGCCATTTAATTCAAACTTGATCTTGTTAAGAAATGAATCTGTTCCTTCAAATCCTTCCTTGATTTCTTTTTCAGTGACTTCTTTTTCACTTCAGTTTCTTCCTGGGAAAGGAGAGAAAGAGACCAAGGAGACAAAGTTGAGACACTTATACTCTTCCTGACGCTCAGGTCCTACCGGGCAGGCTGCAGGGTGAGACCAGCTGAGGAACAAGTCACATAAGGGAGCATCTGGTCTCCTCAGAGAGGAGACTGAGCTCCAGAGGGAGCCTTATAAACGTGTACATGTGTGTATAAATATACAAAATATAAATATATAAGCACATATAGAGGGAAGAGCTGCCAGGGTCACAATGCTGCAGCAGCATGTGAGGAAAAGCAGCAGCCAGGCACTGCATGTGCTCTTGCCCAGCATCCAGGACAGCAGTACCTGTCACAGCTCTTGAACTCCAGGGAGTGTTTCACACCACACTATGTGGACCTCCAAACCTCTGCAGGTCCACCCAGCCACACCAAGAAAATCACGTCACTGCAAGACCCATTCCATTCAGCACCTCCCTCCAACAAACCCATGCTGTTTCTAAAGGACAGTCTTCAAAAACACGCTCCTCCAGTGGTTACAATCCTTCCTCTATTTCCCAGCTCAAACAGACAGTCCATGCTCAGTCTTGTGCCAACATTGTCTTTTAAGCGGTGCCTCTTCCTCGCCAAGCTACTGATGTGACTTTGCCCTTTGGACCACTCATTTCAGCCCAGTGCCTATTGGCACAGCACTGAAACTCCAAGTCCGCAGGAAACAGTTCTCTCTAAGACTCCTAATTGCTACTGTTTAACGAGAACTGGTAGAAGCAGCCACACAAAGAAATCTGGACACCAGAGAAAATTTCAGAAGCAGCCACAACCTTCAGCTTTCTGGAGGTGTCCTTGTCTCCTCCTGACCTCCAACCTGGGAATCAGGTGCCCTATGCTTTCATCAGGCATCTCAACAGCACTTACTCACTGTCCTCCCTCTCCCCTTCTAGCTGCCACCTGGGTGGCAAGAAGATATCTTTGCCCTTTGCCTCTGGAATGAAATTTGCCCCTTAATTGCAGATTTCCTAAGCCACACAGAATCTCACATCCAACAAGGTAGCTTTCAGGCTGACACTTCTGGTCTGGAGATACAACCTGAGGGCGAGAGGTGTTCCTGAGAATAAAAGGTCTCTGAAAGTGTAAAGAGCTGGCGATCATAGAATGGTTTGGGTTGGAAGGGACCTTAAAGATCATCTACTTCCAACCCCCACAGTCCCACATTCAGCCAAAGCCAAGAGAGAATCAGCACATAAAGCTCGCTAAAGAAAGGGACTCCTCTCCAAAACACCGCACACAAACCTCACCCACTACACTAAACTATTAGACCTCCCATCGCTTCTGTGATCCCTCACAGACTAATCTGTGGAAGCAGACTTTAAAAATCTCCAGATCAGCTAAGTCTGTGCTTTCTGAGTAAAAAATTGCTTACACGCCTACAAGAGTAATTTGTTTCAGGTTAATCTAATTCTCTATCAATTTAACCAGAATAAGACCAAAATATACAAATATAGGGAGAGCAGTTGCTGAAACCCTGTAACCCTGGCATAAACAAGCCCTAAACCACGAAAACTCACTTGATAGCATCTATACCCTCAATAGGAGATTTGTGTTTATTAAGGCAGCAGCTCTGGAAAACTACGTGCACCGAGTGGTCCTGACGCCCTGCTCCAAGCTCTGATGAACCTCCCTGGTGTTGCCCGTTGCAGCTTCCCTGTGGAAGGGCATCCAGGAATTCAGGCATTCATCACAAAGGACAACGCAAGAGAAGACAGCAAGGATGCTAATATTCACCACTGCCTGGTAGCAAGAGACCAAGATGGACACACAAACGTACCACAGGATTGTTTGTTACCTGCTAACAGAAGTAGGGTGATGGGGATGGGAGAAGACGCTACCACACCGAGAGGTACTTGGGACAGCTGGGTTTAGCCCTCTCCTCCTTTTTTTTCTTTGGACTCTGACCTTCAGCTCTCCACCTGCTTGGTAACTGCAGAGCCCTTCCCAGCTGTCTGACCCAGCTGGAAAACTGCTGCTGGTCCCAGATGCTCCTGCTGAAGCTGAGCAGCAGGAAGGGGTAAAAAACACTCTTCCTGGGTTTAAAATCGGACAAAGTTACACGATTCCTTGGCGTTGGCTGCTGTACAGCCAGCAAATGCCAGGACTAGTATCATCTCCCCTAACAAAAGCTACTCAACCCATGGACGAGCGAGGGGAAGTGAACAATGTGATCATTTTACAGCAGACACCAGCACTTGATAACTGTTTATACAGCACATGGCACAGCAGCAGCCCAAATGAACGTGGCCAGGGGATTTTAGTGCATTAAGAGATTTTAATGCACTGAAATGGAAAGCTTATTTGAACTTTCTTTGTTTGAACAGAGCTCCAGCAAATGACCATTTGCAAAACAAATACAAAATCACTACAAAGTCTATCTGAGCACTTTGCTGTGATCTACAGAACTCCACGAGTCCCATAAAAGATGGTGAATGATGAAGACTGAAGTGCCCTGGGAAGTCCCCTGACTGAAGCCCAAGTGTTCCTGGGGAAAGCCGGCCCTCAGCCCCTTCCAGGGCAGGAAAATAGGTGGTGCAGTCCTGCAGCGCGAGGGGAGGAAAAATACAGGCTGGGAAGAGAACGTTGGCAATTTTATAGAATATTTAAAAAACAAACCCAGAACAACATTATGTATTTAACCTAGAAAGGAAAGAGCTTAAATAAAGACCCAAGTCTATCTCCCCAGGAACACGGTGCTCTCAGGAGCCAAAATACACAGACAAAAGCAGGCAAGCAAAGCTCCTGCCGCCAAGCAGGTGTGTAGCTCCAGGGCTTCCTCTGGGAGCAGGATCAGGAAGCAGGTCTTGCATCTTCCCAGGAAACCTCCCATCAGCACCTGCATTAGTGAAGCGGACAAGCCAGCAGCACCAAAAAGGTGCTGATGCCTCAGAAAGTTTTCACATGGTTTAACTTCACAGGCAGGCAGACAATGGCACTGCTGGAACTGGGAACCTGTGTGGCACGAGGAGCAGAGGAGCTGGGAGGAAATCAGTAGCGGGTGGGCAGGGGAAATGAGAGCTGCCAGAGACCCACCTCAAAGCTGAAGAGGCTGAGCAGCTCTCATGGAGGGGGGGGTCCTAAATCAAACATCCCATAATTAAGAGAGCCAGAGCTGCACGGGCAATTAATTACGTGGTGTTAATTCCTTCCTAGAGCGCTGTTAACACAGCTAGGCATGGATTAATGCCCCATTACTCGCACACCAGGACATCCCTTCTACATTTATTAAGATGATCAAGCAAATTAGTTTCAGAGCGATGTGCACACCGCAGCACGGGGAATCGCCTCCATGCTAGGTGAAGTGGCGCAAACAGCCCGAAGCTCAGGCTGCCACACATAGATATGCCAGGAGCCTCCTCAACCCAAGCTCCCCCTTTTCCCAGCTCCCAAAATCCAGCTCCAGAGAGTGACAGAGCAGCCAGACTGGGGGTACCACAAGACAAACCTAGCCACAGCTTTGGATGTATGTGGTTCTCACAGCCTCAGCCACTGGCAAAATGGTGCTATTTTGCTCCCCTGCCTTGCCACACACACTCATCCACTTGTGCTACCCAGACAGTAAGGTCTTCTTCAGGATGACCAACATTTGCATACTGCAGACCTGCTGCACTTCTGATCAGCCTGAGGCACGGGGCTGGACTCTTAACCTTTGGTTCTTGCTTTATCACCTGAAAGAAAAGTGCTTACCAGAGAATCACAGCCCAGCCTGGGGCATGAAAGGGAGCACCCAGTCTCATCGCATGCCATGTGTGCTATCAGCAAGCTTAGATGGAGATAAAGACGAGCAACACCTCCACAAACCAAGACATCATGGAAGAATGAACAGGTTAAGCTTACCCATGCCTCTTTAACCACGCTCATAGCATTTATTGCCACTGCTCTACCCACAGTCTGACCTTGGAGGTCCCCACAGCTCAGCAGTCTCCTTCTTACCCTGCTCTCCTTCTGCCAGAGCCACTGCTGGCATCCTCCAAGCCAACTGCAGGCTCCCAGTCTACCACCTTCCCCAGTCCTGCCATCAGCCCCCCCGCCAGAGCCTGGCTCTTCACCATTTCTCCCATTTCCAGACTCTCCCCTCCCCAGCAGCCCAGCAGCTGAGCGCAGCCCCTCAGGTGCAGGCTGTCTGACATGCCAATTTATCTGAGGGCACACAGGCTGCCGTTTTGAGAGAGGACCTTTAGCAAATGTCAGCTAGCATTGTGGCTGAAGGAAGCAAGCCCGTCTTCTCCCTGCACCCAAATGTTTGTTCCCATCCCTGCTTTCATGCCAGCACAAACATTTGTGCTGAGCGGTCAGGCAGGGATGAGACAGAACTGAAGGCCAGCAGATGCTGGAGCTGTCACTGAAAGCAAACATTCAAACTACAACCTTGACTTGAAAATAAATAGCAGAAGGGGAAGACAGGACTCCCTTCCACGTATTTCCATTTGTCTTGGGAACAGACAAACTCAGTGCCCCAGCCAGAGAAGCCAACATCAAGAAGCAGCGCTCAGAGGGTGAGAGGAGGGAACAAAGCTGTGCCAGTATCCAGTATGTCGAGAGGACACAGCCATGAGACCTCTCACAGTCAGAGAAGGGATGCAAGGGATAGCAAGCAGCAACTAGGACCCGCTAGGAGAGGAGAAACCCTCTGGGATCAGCACACTGCTTTCCTTCACAGCACAAGAGCATTTGAAGGTGCGGACACCCTGCCAAGTTTTGGTAAGTACTGAAGCAAAGCTGTCTTTGCAACAATGAAGTTTAAGGAGTGCAAACTGAACTGCAAGCATTTCCCAAGAGAAGCTGCTTTCTAGATGCATGCCAGGCACAAAGCACACAAGGGAGTCAGCACCAGGAAATCTCACCTGGAAGAAGTTGTCAACTTGGCTCTTGCCTGCTTAGGACATTCTGGGATAGAGGGGATGGAGGGAATCGGTGGCAGCTTCATCTGCTGCTTGCTTCCCCTTAGGCAGGGACTGCCATGAATTTCCTTGCAG